CTCCTGAGGAAGTGGAAATGTGATCTCGGGAGTAAACTGTGTTGTGAGGCTGAAAGGAAGGCCGCTCCGCGTAAAGGGATCTGTCCAGTTTATCGCCTGTCTTGACAGCCTTCATCTGTGCTTGTCGCCGGAAGCCTGTAATTTTTGGCGTGTGTGGGCTTCAGTAAATATCTTCGTGCTACTTGAGTCTTCCTTTTGTGCCAGGTTCCCGGTTCTGACAGCTCTGCAGACCCAGCGCTGATAGATAATAGCACCATGTTGGCAGGGAGGGGTACTGGAAAGCTTGGAGCTAAATCCATTTTTTTTTCTTTTCACAAAGTATTTCATAATCTTTTAAAAATGTGGAATAGCTTAGTTGACAACCACAAAAAGGAAACAAAGAAGAGATGGAGGGATGGGGGAGGGGCGGGGAGAAGAAAGGAAGAGAAAGGGAGGGGAGTCATCTAGTGGATTCCTTTTCATGAGGTTTCTGTCCCAAAGTTTTCATCAGTTTCAGAAAAAGGAGAGACCACACCCTGCTGCAATCATTTACGCTTAATTCTGAAGTCGGTAGCTCGTTTGGTCTGGATTCTGATTGTGGGAGTCAGTGAAAGTTGTATGGTAGGGGTCACACCTTCTCTGGCGCTTTCTTCTCCTCAAGGATTCCGAAGAATATCTACTTCCAGCAGGAAGCTGAAATCACGGCTGACCGAGGCCAGAGATGGAGGACAGAGCCCTTTCACGGCCTGTCACAGGGAACTGCGTCTCATGAGGCCTCCTTCAGAGATTTCACAGGCAGGGTACAGACCCAGCAACCACTTGCAGAAGTGACTAGCCCTCTGGGTTAGTGTTACTAACTGCAGGGAAAACTGAATTCTTCATGTGCTTATCTAGGAAGCCAGCAAAGTGAACACACTTGTGTACATGAATACATGCAATAGATGCATCACACTTGATTCAGAGGTCTGTGATTGGCACTGGGCCCTAACTTTATTAGTATTTTGTTGATGTGTATGGATGTGTATGGAGCACATACGGGAGTGCTCTCAGCAGACAGAAGAGTGTGTCACTCTGCTGGAGCTGGAGAGATGGGAGCTGAACTCTGGTCCTCTAGAACAGCAGTAGTCATTCTGAACTGCTGAGCCGTCTCTCTGGCCCATATGATGTTACTTTTAAAGACTTTTTTTTTTTTTTGTCAGTTTTCAGTAGATTGACACCAAGCCCACCTCAACCTGCCTTCTCCTATGAACATGTTGGCACCCTGGAGAAGAGTGCACAGCTGTCCTTATTGCATGGATTTCATGAACCGACTCTCACCATGCACCTTGTTGAAAACTCTGTCCCTGCATCCAAAGGGGTCTTGTATGTCACGTATTAAGACTCCCGTATATCTAGGACCAGCAGACTGTTCTTTTCCACCTATTATTCTTTGCATCCAGAAACTATTAGTCTCTATCCATTTTTTCCCTTGCACCTGTTTATCTAATCTGATTTGTTTTCAAAACACAGACTTAGTTTCGCCTAAACTTGAGATTTAATTTCAGTATAGCTGGATGTGATGGTGGTAGGTGAGCCTTGGGAATTCATACAGATATTTGGGGGAGGTGGCTTTGTGGCATCTGGTTTTCTTGTCTAGAGAGAGACAACTGATCATCTTGATTAGTTTTACATTTCTAGAGGAGAAATTTAGAAAACAGAGAGGGAATTAATTGCTCATGGCACCATCAGTTAGTATATGGTATTTACACAGTAGCATACCCATAGGACTTCCAGATGGACTGAGGGGCAGAGAAGTCTTACTGGACTCAGATGTCCCAAAGGGAGACAGGTTCTGAGTCCTTAAGGGGCCATGTGTTTGAGGGCAACCCAGCTTCCACCCTGCGGATACTGTCCGTGGGAAGGAGGCCCCGCAAACGTGGAGCTCCACCCACCAGCCATGCTCATCATTCCAGCTTGCAGAGTCCCATTTTCATACAGTATGTTCCATGAAACTACAGCAGTCCATGGAGTGGAAAGGGCTGGAGACTGTGAGGCGAGGGTAGAGCTTTCACTTAAAAACAAAGAAACAGAGGAGAAAACAGCTAAGGGGAAGATGCATGCCACCTTAGGAACCCAAGTCAGCAGGGCAGGGAGAAGGGGTGGGAGGCTTGGGGGGGGGGGACGGGACAGGACAGGACACAAGAGGTCACACTTGTTTCTGGGATCGTCCCTCCTCCAACTGCTCTTCAGCTATTGCTGCCGTATTGTGAAAATCACAAATGTAGTTCTCAGGTGGCTTGTGTGACTTCTTTTTGAAGATCAAGTCCCAGGCAACCGTCTCAGCCTGTCTTCTGTCTTACTGTCCTGGGTGTGTGCTTGGCCTCTCGGACTACTTTCATGGACCCAGTTACTTTCTTCAGTAGGAGAAGGTGAAGGTTACTCTCCAAGGTGGCTGAGAAAAGAGGGCTTGGTGATGTGTCTGAACTTCCCATTCCTCTGGGGACCCTGCACACTCAGTTACATATTACATGGGATGTCCACTGCGAGCATCAGCGGGGATGGAAGAGATCCCAGGTCCGAGAAGGACTTCCTGTGTGTTTCCCCTGCCTGCATTCAGTCTGTCTGGTGTTTCATCTGCATCTTTGCCTTTGATTCTCTTCTTCCTGCTCCTGGTTTCTCTTCTCCCCGTGATTCTGTGGCAGACTTGGTCATCCTTGACCCTTCCCAGTATCGTTTCTTGTTGACCTTAGTCACACTGCTCAGCAAAGCCGTGCTGGGGTCCACCCGCTGTTGCCCCATCCGCTCTACATTTATTTGTGGGTCAATTGAGTTCATTTCTGCCTCTGCCTTTCCTTCCTTCCTTCCCTCCCACTTTCCCTGGTGCCCTCCCGCTCTCCCTCACTCCCTACCCTCACACAGGCTCTCACTACACAGCCCTAGAAGGCCTGAAACTGGATACATAGCCTAAGCTGGCTTAGACTTTGTAGGAGGCATCTGCCTCCTAAGTTCTGAGGTTAAAGACATGCATTACTGCTTACATTTGCTTTTTTATTTCATAATCCCTGTCACCCATTTATTCTGTTATTTTTCTGGGAATTGATATTCTAGACGTAGCCTCTAATTTCCAGAATGACCTCTCCACTGTCACAGGGTCAGAGACTAGGTGGTCTGTCGTCTTTTTGTCTAGGGTTGGGGCCCTGTGAGATTCCCCCCTACCACAATGACAATATGTCTGCTGGTGTCATTGTTCAGGTCCTGTTTAGGCAGCTATATTGATGAGGTATCAATTTACACTCATGTATGTGTGCATGTATATATGTATGTATGTATGTATATGCACACATCTATGCATTAAATCTGTATATGAGAGAGAACATGTGGTTTATACAAACCTGTAGCCAATATTCTGCTAAATGGAGGAAAACTAAACATTTCCTCTAAAGTTAGGAATTAGACACGATGTCCACTCTGACCCTTTTTATTCAGTATAGCACTCACAACCTTAGCTGGAGCTACAAGACAAGAGAAAGACATAAAAGAGATAAAACAGGAAAGGAGAAGAAGGCCATTTGTGGCCTTACCCTTTGTAGCTGCTTTCATGGCTGTCCTTCCTACTTCCTGCTCTCTGGGAACATTCTAGAACCCTGCCGCAGCTCAGTAGGATTTCTTAGAACTCATAGTCATCAGTGGCATTCAGAGGTGACCCTTGCCTCTGATTTCTCTCTCTCAAGTCATGGGCTGATGGGTTTGTAAGTGGAGCTGGCATCTGACATTGAAACCGTCTTCTTTCCCCAAACACCTTTAAGAGTTCTGTTCTCGGGCACTGTGCCATACACTGAGCATTTAGTGCAGTTCGTGGTTTAGGAGCAGATGTTCTGTCCCTGGGGGAATTACATTAAAACCCCTGTAGAGTTTTGGATAAAATGACCAGCCTCACAAAGAGAAACAGTGGCTGGCAACACAAGACGAGGAGCCTCATGGTGGTGGACACCTGGAGTCCCAGACCACTCACTTCCCTGTAATGTAATGTATAATGTAGGTGGTCACTGCCACTGTGCTGTCCCCAAGCATCTGATCTGGGACTGAGTAGAGGTGGAAGGCTCTGGAGTCAGTCCTTGAATGGCGACCCTGCAGCTGTGGATCTCAGAGAGGAAGCCATGCTTTGTGGAGTGCATGGAAAGAAGATGTGGGAAGGCTGCTTCCTGCTGGCTCTTTGGGGATGGCTTCCTGGGAAGGCTGCTTCCTGCTGGCTCTTTGGGGATGGCTTCCTGGGAAGGCTGCTTCCTGCTGGCTGTTTGGGGATGGCTTCCTGGGAAGGCTGCTTCCTGCTGGCTGTTTGGGGATGGCTTCCTGGGAAGGCTGCTTCCTGCTGGCTGTTTGGGGATGGCTTCCTGGGAAGGCTGCTTCCTGCTGGCTCTTTGGGGATGGCTTCCTGGCCTACCCTTTCTGATGTCTGGGGTGACACCTGCTGTCCAGGTTCCTCACTCCAATGGCAGGCAGCTTTGACAGACTCTGCATTCCTCGTGTACAGGAAGTCTCACAGCTTCCGGATAGGATGATGGACAGTGTTGTGATTGCTGTGTGGGTGTGATAGAGACCGAAGGCTCTTTTGTAGCATCCCTTTGAATCACCTGTGTCAAAACTATTGGAAAGTGGGTGAGTTAGAAAGAGAATAAACTGTCTGCATTTCCACATGGAACCTCTCCCAGTCTCCTGCGTGGAGTGGGGAAGCAAGACATGCTCAGGGCACCACTGGGTTTCTGATCTTCCGCTGCCGTGTTCCGGGCTGACACTGTCAACTGCAGAGTGGGTTTCATGGAGGACACATTCCGATTTCCCCATGGTACTGGTGAGATACAGTGACCGAAACCTCCGGAGGAGAGAGCGCAGCTAAAGGCTCACATGTCAATCATAGGCACACCATCTCAATCCCCCGTGCTGGAAGCCCCCAGCGTAGACAACTCCCCCAGCTTTAGGGAAGGATGGAGATGGGTGGGGTGGGAGGCTGGCTGTGTCCTAACCCTGTCACTGCTGTCTTGCAGGAAGAAGGCATCGTAAAGGAGATTGATATTAGCAACCATGTGAAGGAAGGCTTTGAGAAGGCAGACCCTTCCCAGTTTGAGCTGCTGAAGGTTTTGGGACAAGGATCCTATGGGAAGGTGAGTTGGGCAGATCACCACTGGTGGGCTGGCATCAGATGCAAAGGTGGTACTGGCTGAGTCTGGTGGGGTTCGGGCATGGCACTGCCCACATTAGCTGAGCCTCTGTGTGTCAGAATCGTGAGCCACGAAGAGCCAGGTCACCCACATTCTTATGCTCATCAGTGTCCTCCTGGCTTGTGGTTATTACTAAGGGAGTCAGATTGTTGCATTAAGTCAGGGAGTCTTGCAAGTTGCAGCCTCAACAGATCTTTTTGAAAAGGAAGGGATGAGACAATAAGAAAACAAGTCAAAGGGGGAAAAGGCCTTCTCTGGATTGGCCTACACAGCTGTCACTCAAGAATCAGGAAGGCGGGGATTTGGAGTCTGTCTCTTCTCCTCACTTGGGTCAATGACACAGTCAGTTTTCCCACCTGTAAAATGAAGTAACTAACTTATTTCATATAATGTTAAATTAGCCATGAATCCAAGCTGGCTGTTGCCTGGGAAGGGCTTGTGTGCTGGACCTGCATGAGTCCTTACATCTGCCCCTTATGGGTCACAGCGATGGTGGCTGATCCCTTTCAGGGGATGAGGAATGCTGGCTCTTCCCTCAGCATCCCCTCCATACATGGTGTGGTCCTCACTCTGTATCCACTGGACTAGCCGCAGGATAGGCAGGTGCTGACAGACCCCGAGCTCCTGGGGACAGGGGGACAGGACACTTCCCGAGCTCCGCAGAAATTCAGGTGTCCAGCCAGCACTGTACCTGAACACATCTTGCTCAGGAATGGGGCTTACTTTGCACTCATGAAGCCCTGGGTTCAACCCCAACACAGCGTGAATGGTGTAAAGGAACACACTTGTAATCTCTGCACTCTGGAGGTGGAGGCAGAAGATCGGAAGTTCAGGGTCATCTTCAGCAGGATACTGAGTTCAAGGACAGCCTGGGCTCCCTGAGATCCTGTCTTTTTTTTTTAAGGAGTAGAGGAGGAAAGGCTTTCCTAGGGTCTTCATTCCTTTTACATTTTAACTTGGCTTTTAAAAAGCATTTCTTTGAAATAAATGTTTGACATCTTGACAGAGATGTTGGTGACAGGTTATATGCCCCACCCCTCCCACCCTTCTCAGTTCCTAATCTTACATGGACAGGTGGGACAAAGGAATGGAGTTGTGCAGGTACCAGTGGGAGAAGGGGGGAGGGGGCAGTGGACCGGTAAGTTCCCGTGGGCACCGGATCCCGGAGATCCGTGCCTTCAGCAGCTCCTCCAAGCCCAGTGAACTATCATGGAAATCGAGGAGCCTAGACCAAGCTCTAGAAAGAAGTGGGTTGCCCTGGCGATGCCACTCGGGCCTTCCTGGGCTCTACTCAGCAGCTGCGGGATCACGAATCATGCAGCATTTGTCTGTACAGGTTTTCTTTTTCATGAGAGCAGCATGAGGGGCCGACTGGGGGAGCCAGCCCTGGTCTGATTGGCCACCCCACACTATCCTATTCCTGCTCTGCAGGCAAACGTGCTGTGTACTTACAAATGTAGGGCAGGCATATTTCCTTTCTGTGGAAAGTTCTGGGCTGTTCTATCTAGACTGATAGATGCCGTGGATCCCAGGCCAGGCCATGCTTGGAAGTCCTGACCCCAGCATGGTTGGCCATTGCCCATCCCTGAGCCTACTGTCCTACCTTCCTTATCTGAGTGACTAAATGAATACTCTCATACCAAGAAGTGAACAGAACACATCTGTGCCCTTGACCTCAGCAGAGGGCCGTGGAACTCCAGCTGTGTGTCTCTCTGTTTGTGCCCCCAAGCCATATGGTTCCCACAGCAGTACACTACACTGAATCCCAGAACAGGGAGGCTCAGCTGCCTCGGGTCCCCATGCCAGAGTACCCCAGAGCCGGAATACCCATAGCCCGGAGCTTGGTCCTACAAGGTACTCTGCTCCCGGTAACCCTGTGGCCTGATGCTGCAGCCGTGTGCAGGGCAGGTGTGGACCGTCTTTCTGATGCAGCCTCTCCTCAACAGTGTTAGTTTACAGCTCATCTGCACTGTGATAATCCCGGGGAGCCCGGGCTTAGGACAAGAGGAGCACAAGTGAGACAGCCTTTGCCTTCAAAAGAAAAGTGGTCTAAGCTCAGGAGGTGATGCAGCCCGGTGGTGTGCTCCAGTGCTGAATGGGGTGGCGCAGACTGGCTGCTCCAGGGCAGAGATGCCGGAAGCGCCAGAGTCTGTGGGTGTGGTGGGCATCCTCTCACCTTCTCCAGCCCCCCACAGCTCCCCTCTGTTGAGAAATCCCAAGGCAGGAGAAGATGCTTTCTCCTTTTTTATTTCTTTTTAAAATTCTCCGGGGTGTGGTAAATTGTAAGTCCCACATTCTGCGAAGAGAGCAAACTGACACTTTAAAATGTCCTCGCTTTCCTGTAGCTGAACAGTGGTAGGTATTATATGGGTGGGGCTCTAAATGCCTTCTTTTGAGGGCGATTGTTGCCCGAGAGCCCCCAGAAAGTAGCTGTGCTCCTGTGACTTGGGCCCCAGAGCATCCTGCAGTGGGAGGTCCCCTCGCCAGACTGAGGACATGTTGCTAAGGGCGTTGGGCAATGGTGTCATCCATGACAGTGCTCCTGAGAGCGTCAGGCAGTGCCGAGTGCCTGCATCTGGCCCGGGCCACACAGCTGCCGGTGCAGACGGTGCAGACGTTCTGAAAGTGGGACATGTTAGCACACACCGCTGCACGAAACGCCAGAGACACAGCAGCCGCATTTGCTAAAATTATCAAAGTTGCTCTGGGGCTTTTTTCGCTGCATCCAAATAAATTTCTAAATTATATAGTCCCTTCTCTTATGGTGCTAGAGGTGACCTCTGTCCAGTCCTCTGACCACCTCAGGGAGGATTGCTGCACATGGCTCTAATTCTTGGCACTTAGTAGGAGCATGTTAGTAGTGACAGAGCTGTTTCTATGCCTTTAAAAAGGCAGACCTCCTGCTTAAAAAAACAAATGAATGTAAGCATTAGACACCATCATCAGTGGATTTCATTTTTAAAATATGAAATGCAATAAGGAAAAAAGTTTTCAGTGCTCAAAAGCTAAAGCAGGCGGATTGCCATGACTTTGAGGCCAGCCTGGGCTACAGGGTAAGTTTGTCTCCCCAAAATTTTAAGCATTTTATATGCAAATATCTGTGTAGACATTGGCATTGTCCCAGCTGATTTGTGAGTGGCACTGCCCAGGGCACATGTGGACGTGGTTTTCTGTTTAGATGTTGGCAGGGTGGGACTGCTCTCCCCATCCATGTGCCATGACTCTGTCTTAGCCCGTTTTGTGTTGCTGTATCTGACTTTTCAAAGACTAAACACTGGACAAGTTCAAAAGAAAAGAAGCCTGTTTGACCCATGGTTCTGGAGACCAGCAAGTCCAAGGATGTGGTGCCAGTCTGCCCACATCTGTGAGGACCTTCCGGATGTGTTGTAGTGTGGCACAGGGCTCCACCTGCCCCTCCCAACACCTCTGTGTGGAGATTAGAGCTACAGGAGGGAACCTGGGCGGTGCTGTCACATCATGCCATGCTACATGACAGGGTGCAGGGATGAAGCAGAGAAAGGCCAGGCAGTCCTAGACGTACACAAGCTGGAGCAGTGAAGACTGCTTCCTCTCCCCAGGCTTCTCCCTGCAGGAGGACTTTATGGTTATTTTTCCACTATGCAAATCTTTTTCTTGGGGCTTCTGTCTCAGCTGTAATATAACAGAATGGAGAGGTACCTCTGTCTGCCAGCCAGAGTCCTGTGAGGGCTTGAACAGTGACCCAGGATAGTCTTCTCCATATGAAGACTTGGCCGTGGATATGTGCATCTATGACGCCACACACTGCAATGCAAGCACCACGGTAGGGGTGCAGCCAAAACGTTCTGTGCTGGCTCCTCAGTGCTCAGCTCCCACTGACGCCAACCTGATGATTGCAGGAAAATGCGGTGGTCATGTGGCCAACAGCATAGACCTTGCTACAAACCCCAACCTGCTTTCTAGCTCCTAGTCTCCCTTCCCAAGTGATGGGATGGATGCTCAGCTGCCATATGCATAGCACCCAGGATCCATCATCACCACCTAGACTCTTGGCTATGCCTCCTGCCTCCTGCCTGCCAGGCATTATCAACTCTACACTCTTTTGACAAAGTGCAGATGGATGCTGTAGGTGTCAGAAACAGGCTGGAAGATTGAACGGGATTCTATCAGATGGAGACTACACCGAGTCAGCTCAGACATGGGCACTAATGCTTTTTGTCTTCAAAAAAGTCCCTTATTCCAACCACTGCTGTCTCGTTTCTACCTGCTTCTTGGTAGAAACGAGCCTACACTGGCACCCTGCGCTCATTCCCTACACCAAGGAGGGGGCCTTGACCTAGAACAAGAGACCTTCCATCTGCTGTAACATCTAGGGATGTGGCAGAGCTGTGTGTGGGGCCATTTGGATCTCAGGATTTGGTGCCTCAAATCCAGCATGGCAGTCGGCACATAGGAGACTGAGCCCCAGACTCTCTCTTGGGTTTGTACATCCAGTCATGGAGATGTGTGCATACGTACACATTGATGTCCCGCACATCTAAATAATCAGTGTCATGCCCAGTGATGGTGTCCCCATGACTTCCCAGGACTCTGTGTGCTCCTGGAGGTGCTGATCACCACACAAGACAGGGATCTTCTCCTTCCCTGCACCTTTGCCATCTGGCAGAGAGCATGACATTTTCCCACGGACACCAGATACTCCCTCCTGTTGAGGGCTGTGGTCACAGTACTGACAGTGGTCAGGAGGAATGAGGTAGAGGCAGTGCTGGGGTCAGAGGCGGCTGGGTTCCCTTCAGGACATGATGTGGGGCTGACACTCCAGCTGTGGATGTGGGTCTTAAGCTTGGACAATGCGTCTTCCCACTTCCTCCTCTGCTGTGTGCTGCAATTGATATCTGGGGTCTCCTGGAAGGACAGCAGAGACCCGCTGGTCCGTACCTTGTCTCTGCACTCTGCAGGTTCCTGAACACTCTCTTTGTCTATGATAGAGAACCAAGAGAGTGAGGAATTGCCTGCCACATGGCTGGGGAAACCTGCAGCCCTACTGTGATTGATATTACTGGTATAGGCTCATGATGGTGCTATATCCTTGGCCAGTGTGGGCTATCTAGAGTTTTGTGGAGCTAGAATACCCCGAAGTGCATGCAGGAGAGCTGGGCATGAGGGAAGCCTTTGGGAAGGAGAAACGCAACAGATCCACCCATCTGAGGCAGCCTCTGCTCACACCTGCAGCACAGCCCAGGATGCCATGGTGGGCTCTGGTACCAAGCAGGGCTTACACCAGTGGGAAAATTCTTCAAGGAAAATCAGTGCTCTCTCTGTCTGTGTGGAGCATTCCTTTTCATACTCACCATTTTTCTTCATTTTTTTTTTAAATCAGTAATCTTGCCTTAAGCTCAGTCTGTCTCGGGTATCTTTTGTTTTGTTGATTTATTCCATGCAAAAAAGTGTTTTGGAGAGTGTTAAATAACCACATGAGTGTGCCTAAGAGTCAGAAAATAAAAACCAAAAAATTATCAGTGAGCTTCTGCTGCCCACAACTAGAATCTTGTCCTGGCTAGTTTTATGTCAACTTGACACAAGCTAGAATTATCTGAAAGGATTCAGAAAATGCCTCCATAAGATCCAGCTGTAAGGCATTTTCGTAATTAGTGATCAATGAGGGAGGGCCCAGCTTGTGGTGGGTGGGGCCATCTGTGGGCTGATGGTCCTGAGTTTTATAAGAAAGCAGCACCCTCCATGGCCTCTGCATTAGTTCCTGCCTCCAGGTTCCTGCCCTGCTTGAGTTCCTGTCCTGACTGCCTTTGATGATGAACAGATGTGGAAGTGTAAGCCAAATAAACCCTTTCCTCCCAACTTGCTTTGGTCATGATGTTCATGGTCGTGGTGTTCATCACAGCAATAGAAACCCTAACTAAGACAGATCTGGATAAGGAGAGTTCAGATAAGAGTAGCATGTCTTGCAAATCTGGTGCAGTCTGTTCTGTGTGCATCACCGTTCTGGTGCCAAATGAAGATTAGTGGTGCCCAAACCACCAGAAGCAAGGTGATGCTCACCACAGAGCTATAGCATGTAGATGTTGGAAGCCTAATTGCTAGAGATAACCTGTGTTTCTTGTAGTGCCTCCATGATTGCAGCTCCTTCATACCCCCTTGTCAATCATTCAGGATTGCGTCCTGTGTCATCCCGGTGATAACACACTGACAAAAGCGTCTTAGAGGAGAACAGGTTTCCTTTAGCTCACAGTTCCACAGTCCAGTATCTCAGGGCGGTCGCAGCAGCAGCAGGGGTTTGAGACAGCTGGTCACATCACATCCACAGTCAAGAGCAGAGGGAAATGGATCCGTGAATGCTCACTTGTTAGCTTGCTGGCTTACACTCATCTCCACTTCTCCACTCTTACAGTTCAGCATCCCCTGACCATGACCCACCCGTAGTGGGCTGGGTCTCCCACATCCCTTACCTTAGTTAAGACAGCCCAACACAGACAGTCACACAGGTAAACCCAGTGTTGACAGTTCTTCCATAGCCTGTTCCCAGGTGACTCTAGGTTGTGTCCAGTTGACGAAACTGACAATCACAGGCAGCCGGTATGTTTTCTGCTCCTCAGGTATTCTTGGTGAGGAAGGTCACAGGATCGGATGCTGGTCAGCTCTATGCCATGAAGGTCCTGAAGAAAGCCACCTTGAAAGGTAAGGGTCCTGGGAGGACCAGTTACTTCTGGGACACACCACTGCCATCTTCACGTGGCAATTTGAGGAAGTAATGGTTTTACTTCGTCTTCATGGTTTCAGGAACCTCAGAGGAGGGCACCGGGCACTCACTCCCTGGTTAATAAGATGCCAACATTTCTCGGGTGTTGTAGCTATCCCTGCAGAGTTTGTTCGGCTTTCCGAGGAGAGGTTGTTGCATAAGTAGCATTCTGCATATGTTCTGCTGCAGAGATCCATGTGGGAAAAGAGCATCGACAAGGAAGCCATTTGTTCCGGCTGTGTGGCTCCACAGTAGGCCGAGCGCCACCCGCCACGCTGGATTGCTCAGTTTCACGGGAAACCCGATCCACAAATGTGCTGTGCTCACTGGTTGCCCAGTGACTGGGGACAGACATTGAGTGGAACCGTGAACTTCCAGCCTCTGGTGTGGCCATCCTCCCAGTGGAGGGGGCGGGGCCTGTTCTAAGCCCAGACTCAGGGCTCACTCTGACCTCTTGGTTCTGATCACCCTTCTTCATCCTATCGCTGAGGGAGCATCCAAGGCCCTAACCAGCACAAGATTCATACCAGCACGGACTAATGATCCAACAGTGGCTTCTTAGTGATGTGCACTGGCCTCGCAGAGGTGGAGCCTTGAGTAGGGGCTGATCTGCCAGGAGCACAGGGGCCCAGGCTTAGGCCCTCGGGTGGGGGGCGGGGGGGGCTGTGAGACTCAAAAGATGCCAAGGGAACACTTGGATTTTTAGGTCTTGTAATGTACCGTCCTCAGCAGTAGAGGACTCCAAAGAATGTGTCATTCTGAGCCTTCAACTCACTTGCTGTCTAGCTGGAGAGATGAAGTGTATGTGTTTCAATCCATATATAACCAGTTATATAGGGCAATAGAGATGCATGAGCGAAGTATCCTCGAAATGTAAACACCTCAGTGCACAGCGAGGAAAAATTCTTTCAAGGGAGGTGGCGCTGGTGTTTAGCAGGTGTGTGGGAGCCAAGGCCTAACTTTAGAATGGACAATCTTTTTCCATAAAAGAGATAAATTATGTGGATCAGTGATCAGAAAATGCAAATACTGACTACTTCTGCCAGTCTGGGCAGAGATCTGTCATCCGAGTGTTCCTAGGGAAGGCCACGGTGACACTAACAAGTGGCTCATGGATCCCGAGGAGCAGGACTGTGGCTTCTTCATAGGTCATTCAGATCTACAACCGAAGGCATGTTTCTCAGAGCTAACATAATCTTATGCGTGGTTTTATGTTGTTATAGCTGGTTGTCAGTTGAACATGATGAGACACTCCAAGATTCTTCACAAAAATGTTGTAGAATTATTCTTTCTAGCCGAGAAAGTATATAGGAAAGAACTCCAACATTCAATAAGATGAACTTCACTTAAGGGTTGTCTCAGAGAAACAGACATCCCGTTAAGATCATTTGAGAGTCCTCAACATACACTGCTTCTGCAGTTCCTCAGAGGTGAAGCACCTTGTCCCCGACCCAGCCGCTCCACGGCACGCAATGCTGTCAACAGCACAGCTCACTGACCACAGCCTTGAGCACAAACACCAGGCATCACCATCACCTGAAGATCCACACCGCAGTGTGTCCATACAGACGTTTCCAGAGAGTTCACCTGAGGTGAGAAGATCCACCCTGTATGTGGGCGACACCAACCCATAGGCTGAATAAAAACATCACGCTCTGCACCCTAGTTGTGAACCCAATGCAAGCAGTGGCCTCCTGCCCCATTACCATTCCTTTCGTTCCGTGGTGGACTCTTTCCTCACACTGTAGGCCGTTCCTCTGGAGATGGCTTTCTCCAGCCTTTTGTCATCTTGTCCCATAGTAAAGGTCATGTGGTCTGTCCACACGGTATTTCTTGGCCTTGAGAGTAAATACAGTACTGATCCACGCCTCACTGTGGATGAACGTGAGGACGGGGCGCTGAGAGGAAGAAGGACGACACCAAGTTCATATCGAGTGAAGCTGGTTTCTTGAGGTTGAGAACAGACTGACCGGGTTGGTTTGGCCAACTTGGTACAAGCTAGAGATGTGTGAAGAGGGAAACTCAAGTGAGAAAATGCCCCCATCAGATTGGTCTGTAGGCAAGTTTGTGGTGGGCGGCTTTTTCTTGATCATGATTGATGTGGGAGGGGCCAGCCCATTAGAGCTGGTGCCACCCCTGTGTAGATGTCTTGGGTTGTGTTAGAAAACAGGCCGAGCAAGCCATGGGAACAAACCAGTAAACAGCACTCCCTCAGTTCCTGTCCACAGGTGTCCGCCTTGAGTTCCTGTCCTGGCTTCCTTCATGATGGACTGTGATCTGGATGTGGAAGCCAGATAATTACTTTCCTTTCCAAGTTCCTTTTGGTCTTAACCACAGCAATAAAAACCAAACAGGACACTGACCACCGAGGCAGCTGGTGCATCTGTGGCTTCAGAATAGGGGCTGGAGACACAGGCTTGAATTCTCCATGGGCCTAGACTTCTTAGGGGTGGAGAAAGTGCTTCAAAGTCGAATGTGGCAAGGGTGAACTCCTCTCCGATGCAGAGGAGGTACCCGTTTGGATTGAAGACAAACGGAGGATGGCAGCAGCTGCTCTCTTCAGCGGCATTCACTCTGATGATCCATGATGTCCATGCCTCCTCCTCCTCCCTCTCCTCCTCCTCCTCCTCCTCCTCCTCCTCCTCCTCCTCCTCCCCAGCTCTGGGACAGAAGTGAATCAGAGTGAAGTGGGAGCCACAGAGGAAGGCCTTAGTGCTCAGCCTGTGCTGCAGAATGCAGACACGAAGGACTAGGAAGCTGTGCTCTGTGTCTAGCACTCACTGGACCTTTGTTCCCTCAGGGTTGACCATGATGCTCAGCCTATCACTTCTGTCTCCTTTGCATAGTGAGCCTTTGAAATAACTTATGATTCAAGCGGAAGTGCTCCTGAGAACTGGCTCCCAATCCAGTTTTATACATAGGATATGAGACTACATCTCCTAAGAGATCATAACAAGTGCCCTGAGCCTGTGTTAAATGTACACATACACACACTCAGTTACACACATACACTCACTCAGTTATACACATAAACAGACACACACACACACACACACACACACACACATACACAGACACACACACCCATGTCCATACCAGCAGGAATATTGTGGACATGTAAACAACTCTGTCTGGTTACCAAATTACAGACAGCTTTTATTTTCTTCTCCATGAATTATATCTCAAAATTTCAACAAACCTCCTCATATCTGGTGTTGTCTTAGTTAGGGTTTCTATTGCTGTGAAGAGATGCCATGACCACAGCAACTCTTATAAGGAAAACATTTAGTTCCAGAGGTTTAGTCCATTATCATCATGGCAGAGAGCATGGTGGTATGCAGGCAGACATGGTGCTGTCTACATCTTGGTCAGAAGGTAACAGAAATTGGACTCTGGCACTGGACATGGCTTGGGCGTGTATGAAACCTCAAAGCCCGCCCCCACAGTGACACACTTCCTCCAACAAGGCCACACCCACTCCAACAAAGCCACACCTCCTGATAGTGCCACTCCCTATGAGCTTATAGAGTCAACAGCATTTAAGCTACCACAGGTGTCTTATAATTTTTAAGAAACAAATACTCTAGAACAGTGTGTTTGACTATGTGCAATCACTTACATTTTGTGAAAATGAGCCATATGGGCAAAAAGGAATGGGAAAAATTCCTCATCTCCTTGTGCTCTGTCTGAAGTCAGCCAATACCAAACACTGTTTTACATTCCACACGATTTCAGTTTTCTCTAATGGACTATCAGTAAGGAATAGATTTCCTCCAGAAGTCCAATAGGGTCTCTTTCTTAAGAGAAAATGGAGGAGCCTCGAAGAGCAGTGTTTTGTGTGTGGTAGCCACAAGATATGATACTGCACCACACGGAGGTAGAGCAGACCCCTGGCCTCCCGTGTGCTCCCACTGGGCTTACCTCCCCTCCCTGCCTGAGCTCCCTTACAACTGGAAGAAGAGTCCACGCAAATGAACATTCAAATTTGTTTTGCTCCCAACTTCTCTGCATCCTGTTATCCTGAGTTACTCACATACCAGTTCCTCCCAGTCTCCATCATACCCCCAGCTTGCAGGCCAGTTTCTATAAGAAATGTGCTGGAGAGAAAAGGTGTGTCTGTAACACCCACGGTGTGTCCTCCCCTTGCCAATCACAAGCTCTCCGAGCGCAGTTGCCGGAGGGAACCGGAATGCATTTGAATAGCAAAGTCATTTTGAAAAGGAAATTAAAAGGGGGCAGGGGCTTGCGGAAATCATTTTGAAACTTGAGATTGTTTCTCCACAGCGCAGGGACGGCCATGTGGGCAGGAGGAGGACGGTTGTCAGTGGGAGTCCTCGTGACTTGACAAGGAGGATAACAGCTCTCACAGCGCTGTTCTACCTTTAAGTCTGGAGCGTCAGGCACAGCCCCCTCCTTCCAGTACAAAGGTGACAAGCCATTTCTAAAGGGATGTCAACTGCACTGCTCCATAGCTGAAAGAGAAAGGAGCCAGCAGGTGAATGCTCCCGCCTGCCACTCCAGCTGAGGCCCCATCATCCCAGTTCCATCCCCCAACTTCATGACAGGAAGGCGCTACTTAAGGACCTTTACAGTTTCTTGTGTTCTTAAACTTGGCAAAGTTTTGTGACAGGATGAAGTAACTGTGGGCAATAGTTTCATAGTATGCGCTTTAAATACAGGGAACCCTGGAGTGTGGCATTCCACTTAGTGCTGGAGGGGGCTTGACTGTGAATGTTCTGCCCAGAAACATGCTCCCATGAGCCCCAACATTAAACGGGTCTGATCTCTTCTACACAGTCATGAGCCGGCAAGAGGGCACCACTGCCAGCCGTGAGAGATGTCCGACCATGAGTGGGACAGTGGATTTCTGGTAGATCACCCTGCCGGTGCCTGGGGCTTCATGGAAGAAGGTCTGAGCTGCAGAGTCTTAAACTTCCTT